AGACTTCTTCCTCATCATTCTGGGATTAAATAACGATAACGAAACGCGACAAAGAAAAGTCGAGCGGAAAAAGAAGAAAAATAAAGTGGCATTTCTAGGGCGACCCTGATGAAGTTTTCCGGAGCATCTGGCACTCTCGTTAGAATCGTTGAGAATTGTTCTGCGCGCGTCCTCCAAGAGACCGACTATGCGTTCTGGGTTATTGGTATTTAAATTTCTTCCATTTCGCGAGAAACGGTCGGTTGTAGGTTAATTATACACCTACATAGGGTCGCGTGGGATGTTGTAATTATATTGTCGCCGAGAACGAGCGGCTTCGAGAACAGCGCAGATAATAATAGGGTCCAGAACTCGGCATTTTATTGTTTAGAAAAATCGCTTGTGCGTTTGTAAAAGGATTGTGCGAAACGATAAAAATAATTTATACAGTTTGTTTCGATCGAACGATTAAAATAACTGTACGTTTTCATCGCGGATTTCAAAGAATCACGGATTTCGGAGAAATTCAGTAGTATAGAAGATCATGTGTCAGACGCGCAGGTTCGCCTCAAGAATTAGATTTATATTCGCAGTCAGCACTTTTCATGCATTATAATAGTCATTCTAGATATAGAGTTAGACCTTTTCTTTTTTGCATCATTGCAAAGAATGTGATATTGTTAAAACAGAAAAAATCAATATATACATATCTGGATTATTATATTCCAGACTACGAAATCATAACAACTTTTGATAATTCTATTTTATGCAATTATATTAAATGTATAAAATTTGACAAAATCATAAAGTAATTGCGATAAAAATTGAATTTTAATTTGGTAATAATTATTATACCTACAATTAGATTAAAATTAGTAATGTTTTTTCGCATAAAATAATTTACATATATTTTATTTATTTATTTGTAGTTTTTTCACAAAAATTTTTATGGCAAATATTTGCAAGATGAAAATTACAATGGAGAAATACAATAATTATATTGTAGCATTAAAAATTCTCTATCTTTCTTGCGTAACAAGCTTCTACTTTGGGAAGAAAAATATTTGCGAGATGGTCGATAGTGTTCATTTCGTGAAAACGATATTTCGACGGTATGTTGTGCGAAAACACGCATTACGAGATTAAAACAAACGGTCGGAATAGATAAAAACGTACACACTCGCGCACTCTTTATCTCGGTTGGCAAACAAATTGCGCAGCGATGCTTTCGCGCAAACAATGCAGTTTGTTCAAGAAAAAAATACAACATTCGTGTCAGATTTTACTGCATTCGACTTGGTATAGTATGCGAAAAGGTTTCTCCATAGTTTCTTAGTGGCTAATTTTTTTTCAAAATTTTTTTCACCTTCGACTAAGTCGGAGAGAGGTCAGCTATATGGATCGATATTTGTTGAAAACACGGAAAGACATTCCTCACATATTGTTCTGCGTTATCGTCCAAGTTTCTCAACATCTTCGACTCTACTTCGTATTCACTCGTATACCGGATGACAAAAGAAAAATTTTTAAATAAACATATTTAAATTTTTGTCAAGGAAAGACGAGGAAAAAATTATAAAATTATAATTTTAGTATTTACATATAATATATATAACGTTTTAACAATATTTTGATTACGTACAAACAACGGATTAACAGGTAATATTTTTATATAATCGAAATATAATAGTTATTTTAATATTTTTTGCTATATTTTTTTATTTCTCGAGTCGTAAGTGTCGCATGTACAACAATATGTATGTACTTACATCTAAGTTGTGCAATATAGTATTTTGTTAAACTTTGGTAAACTTGTAAATTTTTTCCGACCACCCGGTATTAGTGTAGCGGAAACTCCAGAGTCACAATCAGGACATACTTTCGAATGCGAGGTCTGCTCGGGGATGTCGGCGTACATTCGACGAAAACTTTTGCAGTTTGAGTGTGAACGTTTTCTGTCTTGCAGCGTTTTCCAAAAGTACCGCGAGCTATCAAGTAAACACATTTGTTGGATCGACCTATTTGCTAAGATTTAAGAACGAGTTCACCGCGATCCATCAATACGGATGGACATTTTCTAGGGAATAAAATACTAACGAGAAATAAGGGAAGATACGATTCATCTTGTGTGTATTTTATTTAAAGATTTATATGCTATTGTCTATACATATGTCATTTATTATCTTGATATTAATATTGAATTGAGTTTTCTTAGCAAGAGGAAATAACTCGTCGATCAAAAAAAATGTATTACCTTTGACATTTCTTCTCTATAATTTATAAATATATATATTGTATATATATTATTAATATACAACACACTGATTAATACTTTGAATCCGGAGAGCGTATTAACACCCCGGTGGGATTCGCAATGTAGTCTACCGGACTCAAAGTGTTAATTATGCCAAACGACACAGACTAATGGAAGCTATTATCTCGAGGCATATGAGCATTAAACTGGCGTTAATAATAATCTGTATCAATAAATAAATAATGTATACAATCTATTTTTTCTCTCTAATGTTGTAGGATTTATTTTCACACGGAGATTCTATATAATTTAAATAATTAAGATAGTCGAAACTAGAATTCTTGACAATCTATTGCAAAAAAACGAAATTAAGAAATGTATCGGAATATAATTACGATGAAAAAATGCGTGACTCAAAATTAAATAGACTTGATATTTTGCAATCAGCACGAGCAAAGCGTGAATTCAGTAATACAAATGTGTTAATCGTGTATATAAGGATTCTCAATTTCTTCGATGAAATCGAGAAATTGCCGACTCGACGGTCGAGATTAAAGATTCTCTGCGGCTTCTTGAATTTCTGACCAGGCAAAAATCGTCGTTCGCCGTCTCCCGATTCGTGTTGTATCGTTCTCGAATCGGCGATTTCTGCGACCACCATGCTTTCTCAGCGCATCTCGAGTCGCGAATTTGGGAGTTTTCACCTTTCTCTCGACAGACATCTACACATCCTGTTACTCGAATCGAGGAACCACCTTTATACGGTACTTTCGCGCAGCATCTTTTCTCTTTAGTTCACTTGTTTTATTTGAGTTTCTCGTTTGCGTCCATCCTCCTTTCTGTTTTTCCCTTTATTTTTCTTTTTCGCTTTAGCTAGGCAACCAATTCAATTTTGATACATCATTCAAACGCCATCGAATTGATGACGTAAACTCAAAGAGAGATATCCGCTATTCGGTCTAATTATTTTGTATCAACAGCTACAAAGATAAATACCATCAGATTAATCAAAAATTTTTCATCAAACTTTAGAATTCTCTTTTATTCGCGCTGACATAAAAATTTGATATTAAAATCGAAGAGAAATGACATTATTTGCGAAACAAAAAATATTGCAATCTTTTTTAAATAGTATATTATGCAGAATAATTTCTCTTCGTATCTCATTTTTTAAAAATAAAATTCGCATTATGCCGAGATAATTGATAATAACTGAAATAATAGCGAAAGATTATCGTAGGAAATTTTGAATACGGTATTCAGCATGTAAAACTGTTTTAGCATTATTTGCGTGTTTCACATGTCATTGAGAAAAAATATATAGAAATAAACGATTTCCTGTTTCTGACAAAAGACAGACAACCTAAATATATAAACTCCGTTCTCTCTCTCCTTTCTAAACTCTCATATATTTTTGTGCCAACGTTCTAAAATTGAAAATTTTATATGATCGATTAATTTCCGATAGGTGTTTCTTCGTCGATTTCAAGAAACGAAACCGCTGTGATCGATCAGCGATTCACGAAGTGGCTGAAAGTTTCGCAGAAACGTGCCCCGACTGAATCGACAACCCCCGGTTAAGGGTTCCTTCCGGTCTTCGATCGCAGGGATTCGCTCAACAATTTTTCAGCGCCTCTCGTCGCTTAACGTTTTCGCCGGAGGTGCACACCATCGCATTGTCCGAGTCTCTCCGCCACCCTATACAGGGTGTTTCAGAACTGGCGGAAAAGTTTTTAATGACAGATTCCTGGTTGATACCAGACGATTCAGGAAGTTTGCTTCAATAGAATTTTAATATAAGGCTTAGTTATAACAGGATGTATACTCAAATTTTCCAGGTACTTTTGTTCAAAATTCCAAGTAAAATTTAAGTATTTCAAAAAATGTTAAATACAATTTTTTAAATTAAGTTTAACTTTGTTATACACAATTAATATTATATTTTATAATAAAATATATTTTATATAAACCTCTAATAATTTTATATTCCTTAAAAATATATTTAAAAATAAAATTAAAGGGACAATTTTTTTAAAAAATTCCCCAAGTTCAAAATAAATTTTAAATACAATTTTAAATTAAATTTAACTTTGTTATACACAATTAATATTATATTGTATAATAAAATATATTTTAATATATTTTATATAAACCTCTAATAAATTGTATATTCTTTAAAGATATATTTAAAAATAAAATTAAAGGGGCAATTTTTTAAAAAAATTCCCCGAGTTCAAAATAAATTTTAAATACAATTTTAAATTAAGTTTAACTTTGTTATACACAATTAATATTATATTGTATAATAAAATATATTTTAATATATTTTATATAAACCTCTAATAAATTGTATATTCTTTAAAGATATATTTAAAAATAAAATTAAAGGGGCAATTTTTTAAAAAATTCCCCGAGTTCAAAATAAATTCTATTTCAGGATTTTTCAAGGTAGAAACAAATTCCCTGAGAGTTTCAGGTTTTTCCCGCTAGTGTACACCCTGTACAAAGATCCATAATAACAAAAATTGGGAACACGCTAAAAATTTTCGCCCTGAATTTTGAAGCACCCTGTACAGCCAGGTTATACGACGAAGGAACGGGCAGACGGACAGACAGACAGGCACCAACATGAAGAGAACAACCCTCTCGCACCACCGCGCTTCCTCCCTCGGTCCTCACCCCCGAGCTGCGCGACTGCGCAGAGGAACGGCGCGAGGCGTCGGCGTCGACGTCGTCGTCGGCGTCGGCGTCGGCGTCATGCCGGGGGCGTCGCACCATCGTCATCGGCAGGCGAGCGTCCCGACCGAGCGTCGCTCTGTCTCGCCAAGCTAGTATCAAACCGGGAGTCGTCGAGAGGGTCGACCGATCCAACAACCCTCCGGGAGAATCGGTCGATTGACAACCGCGGCCAGCCATTAGAGGACGATAAACGGGTAGGGTTTCCCGGCTGGAATTTTCGCGCGCGCGTTCGCGACTTGGACGTCCAGTTTTCGTTCTCGGAGAGAGAGCCTCCGGGTGGCGAAGAGCGAGGAACAAGTGCGAGAGAGAGATAGGAAGAGGAAAGAAAGAGGGAGAGAGAGAGAAAAATGGAGCGCGCGGCCGGATCGATCGCGATACGAACGGATGGCTGACTCGAGAGTGAACCGTGTTCAGAGTACTGGTAGTCCGAGGGCTTGAAACGAGAGCTGGTGCCGGCGCCATTCGACGCCAGCCACGAGCTCACCACGTCGGGGAACGGCGTCGTCACGAACGTCGCCGTGCGATCATCCCCCGGTGTCTCTCTCTCTGCGATTCTGCGTCGCGACGCCGGGAGAGGGAGGGATACAGAGAGAGAGCTGGTGTGTGGTGAAAGTGCCTCATCGCGTGATTAGGTCGAGGTCGTGTCGCTGGGACCGCTCTCTATCCGGTGACCTTCGCCGCTGGAGATGAAGCTCGTTGATGTTAGATGACGTCCCTCGCGATTCCGGACTGATTTGACGTGTCGTTTCGCAGCCGTCTTTTCCCGAAACGTGTGTACTTAGGTATCTCGGCTGAAAGGAGAAAGTGTGCCATCGCGACGCGACGCGACGTGTTACGAGACGACCCGAGGGAATCACGGCTTAGGCACCCTCGACACGAAGCAATACGAGAGGGATAACGGCTCCCTCGACGTTGTGGAAGTCGTCGCTCGGCGTGCTATGCGTGATCAATCCGAGGATTCTTCGGGAACAGTGATAGGGAGAGATAGGAAGAAACTGAAAGTCCCAACAGTCCTCTAAGAATTATTCCAGTTTCCGTATTCTTATTATTTCGATAGCGTTTGCTGATTAGACACTCTCGAATAAATCAAAAAAATTTGTTCGGCGATTACGTGAAATTAGAATCTTGAAAAAGTTTGCATCGCAAGAGCAACCAGAACATCGATATTATTTTTGTTCCTTCGAAGTATTTAAGTGACTGTGGTCGATTGATGATCTTCCGCAAAAGGATGTTAGTTACATTCAAAGAAATTGCGTTATGTTGATCAAGCAATTTATTAGGCCACAGATGTAATTAATATTTTTTTTAGAAAAATCTATTATTCTAACTTCTCCTTCGTCTTTGTTTTGGATCATACAAAAGTGAGACGATTTTAATAAAGAGAAAAAGATGTCGTGAATTCTTATCGCGTTTCCAGTGTTTTTAGAGTGTACTCGCATACGTTTACACATTTATGAATTTTGATGCATCCAACTAACTGACTGAACCTGCAATTGAAGACATATCCAGAAATATCGATTTGTATTGAAGCAATGAAATTTGATCAAAGATAAAGTATCATTTTACGAATAATTATTATCAAAGCAGTTTTTATAAGTAATTATTATTGAAAATTATCTCGAGCAAGAGAGAGAGAGAGAGGAAAAAGAAAGAAAATCTCCAACAGAGTCGAAACTCTTCCCCGAAATCGTACGACTGATAATCGTGACTCGAGCTGATCGAAGACATTTAAAGATATTTACATTGCGAGAAGGACGGAGAACCAGCGCGTAACACACCCACCACGGGTGCATCTCGCACGAATCGCGCGTGCGTGCTCACGTGCTCACGGATGCAGCAGCCGGGTGTCACAACGTGGCCGACGTCACGCACCCACGCTTCGGGCTCCTACGCGGAATGCGTATGAGCGCGTGACGTCATCTCGCGCAACCGATATCCGAAGGTACGAATGAGCAGGATCTAGCGGCAAGGATCTCAAGGGATTCAAGAGTGAATCATGCGTCATCCCTCGCTTCTACCGGCGCCGGTGGTGCTCCTGCTCGTCTGCCAGGTGGCCCGTTCGTTTCTCCTGGAGGGCTCCGCGACCAGCTACGCGCAATTTCGGAAATGGAACGCCGGCCTGAACGGCACCCTCGAATTCGAGTTCAAGACCGAGCAGGGAAACGGGTTGCTGCTTTACACGGACGATGGTGGCACTTACGACTTCTTCGAGGTGAAGCTGGTCGAGAGCGCGCTCAGGCTTAGGTACAACCTAGGCGGCGGCGCGCAGATTGTCACCGTCGGCCACGACCTCGGCGACGGACACTGGCACAAAGTGCAGATCACCAGGTGCAACGAGAACACTACTCTGACGGTGGATGGTGTCAGCGCGGTATCCACGTCGCGCGGCAAGGAGTTCGAATTCGGCAAGCTCGCCGGGAACTCGGATGTCTACGTGGGCGGGATGCCTAGCTGGTACAACAGCAAGCTAACGCTGCTGGCGCTGCCCAGCGTAATATTCGAGCCGAGATTCAATGGATTTATTAGGAATCTCGTGTACGCCGATGGGGAGAATACCATGCCCAGGAGACAGGAGATGAAGAGTCGGGATGCCAAGGTATGCAAGCGACCGCTTCCAAATACAAAAATCCGCGTCACGTTTCGCGCGTTGCACGACGTTCGATCGTTCATTTAGGAGTCTAGCAAAAATGTATAGGGTGTCCCAGAATTGGCGGAAACACTTTTTAATGGCGAATTCCTGGTATCATTCGATTCTTCTTCAGCGAAAATAGAGGCTTCTTTGGAAACTGAGCCTTGTGGGGATAGGATATTAACAGAACTACATTCTTCGGTTAATTCTAGGTAGTTTGATTTAATAGAATTTTAAAATATAAGGCTTATTGTTAGTTAGAAAGATACATAATAACAAAAATTGGGAACACGCTAAAAATGATGGCCTCCCTCAACATTTTCATTAAGGAAAAATCGTCTCCAAATGATACCAGGAAATTAATAATTTAATTAAATTTTACGAATATGCTCTATTTTTTTGATTAAAATTCATGGTTTATAAATTTATGGTGCAATCTAATTTTTTCACACTTTATCGAGGCAGAATGTATTTGTAACATATGTAGAAACAAGGGAAAAGATTTTTTGCTGGGAGATCGAATATCGCCCGCAGATTGGAACAGTGCCAATCACAAGTTATCTGATACTTTGATTTTGATAGTGGCCATAATCTCGCCAGCGCAATTACAGCGAAAAATAAGAATGTCGCTTAATTCGAGTTTTGCGATTTGAGAAGACTAATCCATTGGATAATCTATTATATTATATATATTTTTGCGTTAAGTTTATTTTATCATTATGCACGTTTATTGACCAACAAGATATTTGTCACACGCAATTTTGTATATCTAATATATTTTCGTTTTTCTTAAAAAAATACGCAATCAAGCAAAAAGATACCTTTTTGCTTGTTTTTCGTGTACAAATTTTCTTATTCATTGTATCGTAACAGGGTGTATACTCAAATCTTAGAAATAAATTCCCTGAGGGTTTCATGATTTTGTTCAAAATTCTAGGTAAAATTAAAATATTTTTAATAATATTTAGAATTGGCGGAAACACTTTAAAATAAGTTTTTTTGAAATAAGTTTATATGTTATACATAATTCTTTAACATAAATGAAGTATTTTTTTAATATAATAATGTAATATAGTAATTGTATTATAATAAAATATATTTTAATATATACTTTATACAATAAAACTAATAAATTTTATATTCTTTAAAAGTATATTTTAAAATCAAAGGGGCATTTTTTAAAAAAATTCCCAGAGTTTAAATCAAATTCCATGATAATTCCATGATAATTCCAGGATTTCCAAGTTTTTCCAGGAAGTATACACCCTCCGTGAATTAATAACTATTTTATGTTAAAGTGTTACATTAATAAAGTACCAGTAAAATACGAGTCGTGAAAATTATCACTTTATATGACACTTAAAGTTATAATTATTCTCTCATATTTTAGAAAAATAATTAATTGATTTCATTAAAAAAAATTAATTGTACTTGGTTTCTTTTTTACATATTATATTTTTCAAAATATTTTCCGAATGCTTCCAAGTCTTGCTAGTTATCGATTAAAATTCTTAATCTAAGTAAACTGCGGTTGAAAAGAATACAAAGTAAAATCGAAACACTTTAGTTAATGTAAAGCACTATGTCGTGTGCCTTAATACCGACGATTCGTACGTCCCGTCAATTTGATGTTAATTAATGAACTGTTATTTTACATTAATTACTTAGCCTTGTCATCTCGTTCGAGGAATCAATATGCGGGGTCGGCAACAATATAAAGTTGTTTCCAGCGATGTCATTGACCGTGCGCAACACCGCGCGGCCGATGGCTGAGTCAGGTTCATCGAGAAATACCTCTTGACGCGCGACGAGAAGCGCGTGCGCTTCGTCAGCACGAAATCGAGACTTTCTCTATCGCGAACCGCGTATACACAAGAAGACTAAAAATAAATCCCTGTCATTTAGAAGGGTAGCGAGGCTTTTCCGTGCCGTTTTATCGCCTACTTCCGTCGATCGATATTCCCTTCATTGTTCAAGGGAGATGGGAAAAGGACATCTTTGAGATAACGGTACGCTTTCTTCCTTCATTTTTATATGCAATAATTAGCAGACGTGATATCGAATAGGGATTCAGCCGTCTGAAGACATGCCTTCTATTGTCGAAAAGTTTTATGAAATTTTTAGCTATATGAAATACTGTTAACTATTCAATACACTGAAAAAAACAAATATTATTAGTTTCAAATAAATGATTTATTTAGAGCAGTATTGAAATCAATACTTATTAGTTTGATATTTTATTATTATAATCAAATGGATATTATTTAATTGGACAGTGATATTAGATTGATATTAATATTAATTATTGAGAAGTACATATGTCTTGCAGCTAAATAAAGATGACTCTTTTCCGTACACTATATAATACGTTCCATTACATGCGCCTGTTTGCTGGCACCCCATGACAGAATTTATTACGTGTTACTGTGGAAGCAAGCTTTCAGTTCATATTTCTCTCAATGGCCGTCTGCCAAGAATTCCTCTATCTGCTCTCTTTGGATATATATGTTTCTTGCTTTATTCGAATATCCTCGGAATCTAGTATCTCATTCCGAAAGTAATCTCGGCGACCATTTAAATGCTAGTCAGTATATATTCGTTAAGTAACTCCATAATCAGAAGCAATCTTTTGACATTGGCACTATTTATTTTTATTTTTAACACACAAAAATTCAAAAGCTAGATATAATTGTGAAGTATTTTGCTCCGAATATTTTAAAAATACCAACGCCAATTTCGCGAGAGAAAATTAATTATAGAAGCAACATTTTTATCAAAAAATATTGACGCAACTATAATATAATATGTTACTTTATTATCAATCTAGAATAATTGAGCCGCAAATTGTTCCAGAAGTAAGACAAATAACTCAATTTCTTTCTGTATTCTTGTGTCCCAAAATTAATAGTAAGCCTGTTAATGGCAAATTCCTGGGATCATTTGGAGACGATTTTTCCTCAGCGAAAATGTCGAGGAATTTTTGCATGTTCCCAATTTTTGCCAGCATGTATCTTCATAATTAAGCTTTAATTTAAATGAAAATTCTATTAAAGTAAACTCTACATAAAATTAATAAAAGAATGTGATTTTGTTAATATTTTATTTCTACAAGGCTTAGTTTACGAAAATCCCCTTTATTTTCAATCGCATAACTCGAAAATTATTGATGTCTCGACATTTTCGTCGAGGAAAAATCGTCTCCAAATTATCCCAGAAATCTGCCATTAGCAGTATTACTACTAATTCTGGGACACCATGTATTTCTAGAAAGGATCACGCATTTCACCCTGGTCGTTGAGTTTGAGTAGAACATCGTATTTGTAAATTTAGTCACCTCGCTGCTCGATTGGCCGCATGCGGTTACGACGCGCATATCCGCTTACGATTAGATAAGGCGACAAATCGAGAATATCCGTCAGGAGGATCGCCATACGATTACCGGTGCAACGATGTAACCCGGTCGACGTTATCGTCCTCTGTACATCCATACGTGACGTTGGAGCAACACGGATAGATAACCCAGATCTATCAACGTACAAGAAATTCTATATACGCAGACGATACATTATTATTTTAATCACTTCCTTTTTAAACGTACAAGTGTTCTTGAAATCGCGCCCGACCAAATTCCGCCGCAGCGTATTCCGTTAATTATACCAATGAAAACAATGTCAGGTGAAGAGATCCGTACTTTTTTCAAGTTTCAGAAATTTGTAAGGGGAATAGCCGTTATTATTCTTGCTCTATATTCTTGATAGCTCTTTTCTCTTTTTTCTTTAATCTTTATTACAGCGTTCGCATTTACATATACATTGTCTAGCGTTATTCGAGCAGAAAAGATAAGCCTCGCAGTGAGTTTTTCTCGGTCGGCAGAAAATCGCCATTTCCGCGCGAAACGCCTTCTCAACACTGATTGCTTCGTGTTAATATTATTTTTTTTTCTGTCGTTAACATTGTAATGTACGCGCGGCACGAAAAGCGATTATCAGACGGACGGGGAATATAAGCGCGATCACCGGATTGCTACAAATGACTGTCGTGGAAAAAACGAGCAATTACACATAGGAAGCAATTATTTCGTACCTGTTACACTTTCGCCGTGACTATATCGTGTACAAAATGAATTACATAAATAATTATACCAGATAGATACAGAGGATGAAGAAAGGATGTTATTTATAAGCGCTCTATGACGTCAGATCTCGAGCAATATCACTAAATTGCGGAAGAAGTAAACGCAGTAAAGGAGGTTCGCTGCACAACATTTATTACCTCCGTATTTAATCGTTAGTTTAAAATTACTTATTAATTATATATATATAAATATTTAAAGATAATTTTTAAAAAATATATGTAACAAAAATCAACTTAAATAACAAGATACATTAAAAGAAAAAAAATTTAATATTATGTAGTAAACGTAACTTTTTTTAAAATTCTGACATGTTTGTAAGGTTTAAGCGTGTTGTGCTGAAAAATAAGCTGACAATAAGTAGTTGCAATCAGCTGACATATAAATAATTTAACGAATTTAATGTTGTGAAATTAAATTAGAGAAGCTAAATTAATTTGTGTAGTTCATTGCACAATAGGGGTCACACGAAAATTATTTCACGATAACATTGCACATATTTCAAGAAATATACAATATAATGTATTCGCGAATTTGCTTCGAAGAATGGAAAACAACAATATAGATTTTTATCAGATAATAATGTCAAACGACAAAACCCGTCGATAGTATTAATTACAAAATAGATAAGCCAATACATACATAGCCCCATTCGAGCGAAATATATATATATATATATATATATATATATATATATATATAAATTTTTATTTTATTTTCAAAACTATTGTTATATCATTAAAAATTATGACAATACTGTTTAAAATATTTATATAATTTGTATTGTATTGAAAGAATGACAAACAATTTAGTTATAATCTATATCATGGAATTA